CAGTGGAAGGAGGCTGGAGGCTTTCCCTGGTCCTTAGCCCATCCTTAGCTTTAAATCACAGCATAATTATAAATGTTTTTGTTGGGAGCATTCCTCCTGCTAATAGATATAACAAAGCATTACTTCTGCTAGCCCTAACCAGAGCTTAAATTACCCTACAATGTACCTTGGTGCTGTTTCTGTTCAATTTTAAAATTCTTTGTAATCCTTTTTATTTTTTGGAGGGAGGGGGTGGGATTTGAGCTAGGTAGAAACTCCTTGGGATTCATCAGATCCCTGTATTTAGCTAGAGTGATTAATGTAAAGCTTACCTTAGAGGTCCAGTGTTCGAATACCATGATATCTAAGGTCTCTGCTGGAATGTAGCTCGAGATGGGCTCGTTTTGGTCCTGGAGGCTGTTTCCATGGCACAGCAGCGGATTCCTGGAGTTGTAGGCCCCGGATTGCTGGCGTTTTTAAGTGTAAAACTGCTGATAGCCTCCCCGGCCCCGTTCTGAAAGAGTGCCATTTCTGTGGCACGTCAGCCAAAAGGGTAAGCCCTTATTAGAACCTTTAATCCCAGTCTTACAGCTCGTTGTCATTATGGGCTGCCCTTCCAGCACTCAAAACCAAGGGAAAAGTGGTAGCATTCTCCCTAGAGCAGATATCAGCTGATTTAACTGTTGACTTGGCAGCCCGGGGTGCTGAGAGGTGAGTGCTCTTGTGTCCCAGCCATCCCTCTCCTCCAGCCCCTTGGGAAAACACATGGAATATTTTGGGGCCCTGCTGAAGTGCCAGTTTCCATTTGACTTTGGTCTGTGCCTCATCAAAGATGATCTTTTTACAGGTGTTGCTGCTCAGATAGGGGATGTGGAAAGCACTTTTCAAAGCCAGAAGGCTTTACTGAGCTTTTTTTTTTTTTTTTCTGTCCAAGGTTTTCCTGTTTTGAACTCAAACTTCACGTGGCTGAAGTGTAAGCATAAAAACAGCAGTGGGGGCAAAACCTCGGTAAAGAAGATCGTGCTTAATTTTTCTGGTGTTTAATGCACTTGATAAAATGGTTAGGGAGGTGGTTATGTCTGTTGTGCTCAATGCTCTCTGCCTCACGTTGCAGCGGGACATCTGGCTCGTGCATCTTCCTCACATCTGGTTTTGCTTTGCTGCTCTGAAAACGGGCGCTTTTTGCTTTGGTTCCTGCTGGAAGGAGAAGCTGCCCCCACCCAGCCCCGAGTCCCTTTGCAGCCGAACGCGGTGTCATTTGTCACTTCTCCAGCTCAGGCCTAATATAGAGAAACACAGCGTGGCTTCCCTCGCCGATGGAGTTGGCCAGGATAAGATCTACTGCCCGTTATGGAGCTGGGTTTCTATCAGGGTTCCACTTTGAAATCAGCTCGTTGGGTGTCTTCCCAGAAACACTTAGTGAAGCCTATGGATGATTAGTGCCCCATGAAAGGTTTTTATGACATGCCATCTTCTCCTTCCCTCTCTTGCAGTGCGTGCTGTATTTATGGAGTTTAAAGATAAATCATCCCAAAACATTGTTCCTCCTTCGAGGGAA